CTCTTTCTTTCAATTCTGAATGCTACTTATTTCACATGCTCTAAGCTTATCTTAAATACCTTGCAGTTAGTTTTCAGTCTGAAATGAGTTTTGACAGTATTCTGATAGGTGCCTATCGAGATTTTTCCAACTGGAAAAAGTGTATTTTAAAAAAATTAAACCCAGTCATTTGTTGCAGCATTTAAGAAATCCCAAGCCTTTAAGATTATGCCTAATGTTTGCAGAGCATGAACGCTTCTGGTGAAAACCCCTAACAGGCTTTGGGATGCATTTTGCTAAGCTGAGAACATCCAGTGCTGCCTTTTATATAGTGTGTGGATGCTGCTCAGGCCTTGAGATCCAGGAGACCAGGGACATCTAACGCACACGGAGGGAGAAGTGTGCCACCTTTGGGGCAATATTCTGCTTTCTCAAACAGGGCTCTGCTTAGGGAGCCCAGGGATGCGCTTAGGAGTGGGACACTGAAGGCAGAGCAGTTCAGAGTGCTTCACATTGTGGTTCATGTAATGTCTCCTTCACCTTGGCTTACTAAAGGTTTTAGAAGGTCCATCCCACGTGCTTGTGGCTCAGGGGAGCAAGTGGTATGTTACCATTTTTGCTGCTCTCTTGGCAGGGGTCATGGTATTAGGGGCAGGCTGTGTTCAGGGTTCAAACCCAGTACTGAATGAAATGGTTCAAACAGCATCTGTTATTGGGCATGAGTTGAAAACTGAAGTCTATCCAATCTTTAAAACCATAAAAGTGAGCAGATGCTGTTCTTTGTGACCCCCAGCATGAAACCTGGAAAGTTGTACGGGGGTCCTTGGTGTTCCTCTAGATTTGCAGCCCTTTGACACAGAGGCTGTTTTCAAACAGGCATGATTTTGCTCTTGTGACTTTTGTCACAAGATACCAGTTTGCGTAGTCCTGGCATGTTGTTGTAACTCCTGCTTGTCAGGGAGAAGTTGTGTTACGTTGTGGAGTGGGAAACCTGCAGTGCCCTTGAACACTCTCTCAGATTTCAGCCTTCTTTCAAATACTTATTTGTTTGCAATTTTTATTTCGAGCAATTACTTCACTTCGCCTTTGTAGGTGACTGATAAGTCAGGTTGTGGGAGACGAAGAGTCTGGGACAGACTCTCAGTTAATGGAGTCTTGCATGGTTACTGTGAAATCAGGAGGACTTTTGCTTATTTTGCCAACTGAAGCTCTGGGATTGTGAGTTTCACTCAATTCTTTCACATAAAGAAAAAAAAAATTGAAATCTACTGCAAGGGCCCCATCTGTATTGTACCAGTATTGCTGGTGGCAAAGGCTGAGGATGTCAAAATGTGTAGTAGTTTAAACAAGGGGATGGGAGAAAGCTGGAGTCCAGGTCCAGCCCAGTGAGAACAAAAACTTTAAGCAGATGATTTATTTTATTTTTAGCCAGCCAAGCAAGGACAGCAATGTATCTCACCAGCTTGTGTTGCTAAAGTGTCCCTTTCCTTGTCTAAGTCCAGTCTTAGGTGTTTGTGTTGCCATCTGAAGTTGCACAGTGTCTCCTCTTGGAGCGGACATGCTGCCCTGAAGAAGTTGAGCAAAGGCCATTGTATTTGACCCATTGCTTTGTAACTTCTCCAAGTATTTGTAAGGTGCAAAACCCCATTATTAAATAGTTGCACTTTTTAAAAATTAAGACCTTTTCTGGTCCTTACCCGAGCGTGTTCATCATGCAGGAGTCATTGCTGTGTAAGAGCATTTGGGAGAAAGAAGGGGGTCTCCTCCCCATTTGCATTATCTGCCTATGGAAGCTGATCCTGGGGTGGTTTCTTCCGTTCTGGTAGATCATGGTTGCCCTGCATTTCAGCTGTCTGCGTGGGGAACACTCGTCCTGCAGGCGTTGGTGTGGCATGGGTTTGACCCATTCTCACGTAGCGGTGCTGGACCGTCACAGCAAATAAGCATTCCTCTAACATCCTTCCCGTGGGGTCAGGCAGGACCCTATGGCTCTCACGCTGCTCCAGCAGATGCTCTGGACAAATGTGGTGTTGTTATCAGAGCCTGTTTTGAAAGCTGTGGGCAGTTTTGGTGACTCCGTTACCGCATTTTAAAAGGGCGCGATGTCCTATGGAGAGGTGCAGCAGCTATTATCACAGCCAAGTTATCCAGTAAAATTAGAGCCCTGAGCTATGCAAACAGGTTAAAATGTGTGTGTCTTTGTGCTGCACAAGTTTGTTTTGGTGAGTGACTGCTAGCAAAAAGTTTGAGCTACAAAATTCAGATCTGGATGCAAAGATGGCATGAATTGAATGTAGCTTCTGGTAGCTTCTTCTCTTTCACATATATGCACCCCTAGAAACTATCAAAGAGGTGTTGAAAAAAACAAGGCTGGAAATGACCAGAAAGAGTTTTTCATATTTTTCTATGGATCCCTTGACTTTAAATTTCCTCAAACAATTAATTATATCCCTCAATATGTGTCTTGTTTCAGAAATGACTGTGACTACATATATATTTTAGAGAAGTTGAAAAATTTAGGAATGGAAGTTTTTACACTAGATGTTTATTTTTAGTTAGTCTACCTATAAAAAGGGGATATAGCAGAAACAGAGAGGCAGCTAAGAGATGAGCAATAAGGAGATTCAGCGGCCTGAAAAATTTCTGCCAAAAGAGAGGCTGGGATGGTTTTCTTTGACGATCTGTCAACGGTCTTGTCCCTACAGACCAGCATGACCCACCCGGGGAGGTGGAGTGGAGCAAGGTTAAGTCGGCCACTTTTGCTGGCTCTGGCTCTTAACCATTTGTGATGGTGAACAGCATCATGTTTGTGGTGATAAAGGAAATATTTCTTTGCAAAATACCATTAAGCCTGAGGAACTCATCAGCAAGGTATCACTAAAGCCGAGGGCTTAACAGGATTCCAGAGGGGTGGTAGTAGAGTACATATCTGGTTTGGAAAAAAGCTAGTGATACTGGAAGGGATTCAACCTCCTGTTCTTTGGGGCATAAGACAGCCTCTAATTAAACAGGTCTTAGGAGATAACCTCAGAAGATTCTCTCTGTGAGGCTGCTGCAGCTTGTGTTGTCTTCTGACCACCCAGTCTGGGCTGGGGGGGGGGGCGGGTGCACTGCCCCGCGTCAGTAGCGTGCCCAAAGGGAAAAGGTCAGGCTCCTGTGAGCCGCTGCATCCTGACTTTCCCTGTGTCAAGCTCCCCCTTCCATGCAGTCTGTTCCTCCTGAAGGTTTCCTTCTCCGACCTGCCCGCTCAGGTGAACCTCAACTTCTTCTTGGTACTCTGCACCTTATTTCTCCTCCTCCATGTGCGAGGGACAGGATAAGGAAGATGACTTATATTTCACATAATTTTTAGCATCACATAACTCCCGGTTGGTTCCTCTCTCCCGTAAAGCACTAATGAAAGTGTTTGAAGGTAACAGCCCTGTTTGCCTGGCCTCCCTGCACTGTTCTGAAGGGATGGCACTGTTGCTGAAAATGGGAGAAAAAAACAGCAAGGAGATGAGAGGAGAAGGCCAGAGTGACTGATGCTGAAGTTGAATTAAAATGTTCTCATCAGAAACCAGGATTTTAAGTTCTGTTGGTAGTTATTCAAGCTCGCTCTGATGATGTGCCGTTACAACTTCATGTAGCTACAACCTGAAACTACCCCAAAGACTGGGAGGAATAGGGTCCAGGCTTTTTATTACAAAGCCAAGAGTTACATTAGAGGTGTAAGCATTATTTTATAGTAGCTATATAAAGACATAACTGTCAGCAATTAATTTGCGAATTGCATGAGGAATGTATATAATTAGTTTCTATAGTTTGCGTGTTTGAAGAACAGAGTTTTTAACCATACTGTTTAGTCATGCATCTTTACAGCATAAACTGGCACATTGTTAAGGTCATATTTGCTTTTGTTGCATCCCTGAATCTATCATGGAATAATCCTTTATTCTGTTGATACTCTGTATCCAAATCTACAAGTATATCCTCCCAAACATATGTGCATAATGTGGTGTGCATGTGCACACAAGGAAAAGGAAGCAGATGACTTGTGTTCAGTATAATGATTGTTTTGTGCTTGAACTGCTGTATGCTCCCTGTTGAAAAGAAACTCCTGTGTCCGTTCATTCACGAACAAAGCTGCTGTCGTGACTGTGTTGATTGTGCATTGACTCTTTGTGTAGGGCCTTGGTTAGAGAAAGACGTAATCTCGTCCCTGCTTCACAGCCTTTCTCCCTCTTCGCTTTCCTCACCGTAATCATAGTGTGCTGATCAATGCCCTCATGACAAGTGGGATCTCAGCTGATGTTCCTGTCAGTGGAGGAGAGGGGAGAATGGATGGTGGTTGGTGGAGGAATCCAGGTGGGTTATTGCTGAGTGGTGCCTGAGTATAAATTAGCAATGTATGTGTCTGAGCTGGCACTTAGCACGGGTGGATAGGACCGCATCCAAAGACACGTGGAGGCAAGGATCGATGGAGTTGCTGTTGCAAAGGAGTGAGAGAAATGGTCAAGTCGTGTGGGAGTCCTCTGGAAGTGGAAGATTTTTCCCTAAGTGTGACAGCTTTGATACAGCAACTTCACACATGCTTTGCTCCAGTTTTAGAACCAGTTCTTGCCTTCTGTTCTGATGTGTGGCCTCAAGATGGCCTGTGATTTCAGTGCTGAGCTGTGGTCTCCATGTCCTGTGCTGCACTATCAGACTGTCCAGACGGGAGCCTTCAGTATCCTCGTAGCCTTTTATTGTTCAAGATGCTCTAGAAACCCTTAGTGATTTACAGAGTGCGGATTTGACTAACTTTCATTTCGACCTATAGTTCCCCTCTGAAGTACCCCAGCTTTTTTTTGCATTGAAAGTTTTTTACTTATTACTCACAGATTTGAAACCCTTTTTTCCCTGTTCTTCTTTCAGATTCCATAGGTGGGTCGTTTTCAGCTTCCTCCCACCGATGCCACCACAAGCAGAAGCACTGTCTCCCCATCCCACAGTGTGGGGCTCTGTCCATCAGCCCTCTGCTTTTCCATCCTCACACGAAGGGATCCCAGATCATCATGGACACGACGCAGAAGGCAGTGAAGCGCCAGGCTAGCTTCTGCAATGCCATTACTTTCAGCAACAGGCCCATCGTTATTTATGAACAAGTCAGGCTTAAGGTGAGTAAATGATACCTTCCCTTACTGCCATGGGAGCTGCTGTGAGTGAATGTTGGGGTGTACCAGGCTTTGGTGCTTGCACCAGCTCTTTAGCCCTTCCTTGAAAAGCACAGTAGCCAGATCTTGGCCTTAAAGGTCTGCTATCTTTGTTGGTACTTCTGCTTTTGTCACTGTAGCTCTTGGAGCCATTGGTACAGACCACTGTAGAAACTGGGGACAAAAGGGAAATCCATGCTCTAAAAGAGCTTATCTTGATGTTAGACAAGGAACAACAGATTAAGTTGAGATTGCTTGGAAAACAGCAAGAAAAAAGGGTTGTATTGGTCAGTCCGAAAGGCGGCAGCAGCCTCAGTGTCTCTCTAGGCTTTGCATGCATCCTGCAAAGGAGTTTTACTGGGTGGGCTGAGGGAGGGTGCGGAGTTTGTTAACACGTTCAGTTCCACGAGGAGCACTTTTCTTCCTGTAAACAAGGCAGCAATGAGGGCTGGTCTCATGGAGGTGGGAGTCAGCCTCTCCACAGCCAACAGATAAGAGGTGAAAAGGACCTGCAAGTGCAGGTGCTTGCTCGTGTGCTTGGCAGGGAAGATAAAAGGGTTTGGCTGAAAGGATGAAAGGAGCAGTCAGTGCGGTCACAGTTGCTGTCTAAGAAAAGGATCTTTCTGGTGGTCTGCTGACTGCTTTGTTGAATCAGTCGCCTGATAGCATTAAGGTCAGAGGAGAGAACATTGCAGGCATCGCGTTTTTCTTGCTGGCAGAGGCTGATTTCACTTCCTTTCTGTCTGTGGTAGCCGGGAGGATGGAGTTGGTACCCCTTGTGCTGCAGCTGGTGTGGGAAGTTCAGCTCCTCTAAGATAGCATGCCTCCATGTGCACCGGGAGCTGCTTCCCGATGAAGAAATTCATCAGTCCCCTTAGGAACTGAAGCACTTTTTAGGCTCTCAGCACCTTGAAGGAGCTTGGGGCCCTTTAAACTTCATCCACAGATATTTTCCAGTCTTTATGCCTTCTAGTTTGTGGGACTGCATTTTTCCGTTCTTAGCTGATTTCATGCCTTTCATTGGCACAAAGTAGGTCATCTTCTTTGGCAACTTCAGTTCATGGCACGCATGAAAGATCTGCCTGCAAATCCTTCATTTACGCACAAGGAGCTTTCCAGGAGGTTTATCTGCATATAGCTACTGAGTCTGAATGATCCTGCTGTTGCCCATTGCTAGAGGTCCCAGAGCGCTGGGACCTACAGCAGCGTAACAGCCTTCCCTGCCTCTTCCCTTACAGCCAGCAAAGGAGCAAGAAACAAGGAATATGCCTCCTTTTGAAAATATAGAGATTTCAGTGATTTCAGGCTCAGGCCCATAGGTAGAAAATCCCTCCTACAGGTTTGTTATGTTTCCTGTGGAGCTCTTACTGCTTCCATTCAGGCTAGAAACCCAGCAGGACGCCCTCACATTGCCTAATGGGATTTTTTTCCATGTTGGCCAGCGGTTTGGACAAACAACTGCAAAAAATTATTTGGGAGGAGATGAAAGCAGCATTTAGTTTTTGAAAACACCATCAAAGATTTGAGTGGGTTTAGTGGTTTAGACAAAGGTTCTGGGTTATTTCTTCCTCATTCTGAAACAATGTAGCTATCTGTAGAAATTCACACTTGTTTATCACTGTATATTTTAGCTTGCATAACAGATGTGAAGAATATGCATGCAAATCTGCACAAGGGATTTACGAGCAGAGCTCCTGCTGAGTCCAATGGGAAGGTCTCATGGGAGTAATCAACAGGCTTCAGCAGCACTTGTACTCCAGGGATGGATGGAAATGTGAAAACATCTTTGCTTTTCTGATAAGTCCATCCTGCAGTTGCCTTGTTATTGTGTGTGCCTGTGGAAAACGGCATCTTAAACCTTCTTACCAGCTAAAGACTAGCCATGAACCCAATCATTGAGGTCCTATAAAGTCTAAACTCCCTTTGGAAAACTAGAGGAAAGAAGTCAAGAGATTTCATTCTGTTCATTAGATGTTGTATCTTGGGTTTTTTTCTGAGATTTCTTTGCAGCTTTGGGAATGCCATCAAGCAGACAGATTTCCTCTTTCTTTGCCTCCGAGATATACCTCCCAGTATGGTTTCTTCCGTGTAATTCAGGGCACTGCTAGGGAGCGGAGTGATGTTGTCAAAGGTGACACAAGGCACAAGGCAGTAAAGAGCAGGAGCCTGAATCTGTGGAAGCAGCCATGGCTTAGCAGTTTGGATGTAGATTGTATCTTTTCCTCCCCTTCTAGTACCCGGTGGACCTCCCAAGCTTTTTGGCTAGCAGTGGCTGCTGAAGAGAGAATTTTGTCCATCATTAACCATTGCCTTTTTTAGCAAAACTGCATACCCTTTGTCCAGCTGTGTCTAATTCTTGGCAGGCTTTATACTAGATTTTAATTTGGATATTAGTTTGCCTGTGGTCAGACTGTATTGGGAACTGTTTATAGGTGCTGATTAATACATGGAACATGTGCAGTCTCGATTACCATATGAATATTTACTTCATGCGGCCTGTGATTGCTGTGACGTATTGGCAAGAGACTGTGAAAGAGTAAATTGTACAAATAACAATGAGGCCATATTTATCTCAGACCCAAAAGCTTTTAGGGCTTGCAGTAAATTTGCTGCAATAAATAATCCAGGCTGCTTCTTGGAGTGTATGTATATTCCCCATTTTGTCACATGCACGCCCCATCCACCCCCCTTCCACTGGGGACATGCATGATCCCATCCCATCCTGGCCAGGCATATAAAGTAGCAAATCTGCTCCAGTCCTTTTTAGTACCACCCCAGTGTCCATCCCGCAAGCAGGAGCTTCCCATGGTTCCTGGGACTGAGGTCAGTGCTCAAGTGTTTCATGTAAACAGTTTAGGTGCTTGGCTGGACTGAGTAGGGATAAAGAGCAGCACTCGCTTAACTGGGTTGATAATTGGTTAACAGTTATCAAGTGTCTGTTGATAACTTCTTGTGAGGCTCTGAATTATTTTCTCTGATACTTTAATTATAAAACAGAAATCTCTAGGCTTTGAACAATGCCTTTGTTGTGAGATTGTTGTGTCCCCAAGGGCACACGTTCCAGATTTGCCTTGGAGAGGACCATGTGAAAGAAAAATGCAATATTTACAAATGTGATTAGAAGAGAATTCAGAAGTCCAAAGAAAATGTCTTGGAGAATCCCTTGGTGAAAATCTTGTGCTTCCAAGCTGGGACACGAGAGGCTGCTGCCAGGCTTTTGAGGACAAAGTCCTGCAGTCCTGGACAGTTGAGTCTCTGGCATTGCCACTCGTCCGAGCCATTAGCACTTTGGCAGAGCAAGAAATTACAGTAAGGTAGCAAGTTGTGTGTGACATCTGGTAGGTGGTACCTATCCATGTTTCTCTTGTCCTGCAGCCAAGAGTGAAATTGCTTGAGGCTGCCAAGGCTTTGATGGAAGAGGGCTACCTTAAGTGCTCTCATGTTTGCTGCAGGTTCAGTGCATGAACAGAAACACCAATTATGTGTCAACTGGCTTGCAGGAACTGTCCTGGCCCTACATCAGGATTGGATCCAGCATCCTTAGATCTTTCATTTCATAGTCTGGATGCTGACAGGCTGAATCCCTTTGAGAGTAACAATTTCCAGCAGGTTCATACTCAAACAACAAAATGAGAGAAAAAATTCTCCAAGGGCATCATCTCCATCTGGGGACCATACTAACCCTGGAAGACTCCCTGCTTCCATGGGAAGAAAAAGATCTTGTAACTGGGTGGTGTTTTGGATGTGCTGCACGTGTTTAGGACCTGCTGCCTGCTCCCCTCAGATCCCCTTCAGTCCAGGGCTCACTTCATGTGAGAAGAAGCTGATGACTCTGGAGGCATCTGTGATCCTTTGTCCTGCTGTCTCTCAGGTGCAGGAGGGTGGATATGACACATGCACCATCCCGAAAACTATAGTGGATGTTCCCGACCCCAGACACGCTGAGTAACCGCATACTGACAGATGGGGTGTAGATGTGCACAACATATCTTGAAAAACACCGCTCACAGCTGAAATAAATAGGTTTTCCCCAATCATAAGACAACATCTATTGTTGCCTCCTAATTGTGTATTTAATATAGTTAAATACTTTAAATTGTGCTTTCCCACACACAAGTTCTCTGCTGCAAGGCTATGATTTCATCCAATCTGACAAGCTAAACAGGGGTAGGACTGTCTTTTACTTGGCTGGGAAACCCAGAAAACCCTACGGTGGTGACTGTGATTCTGGAGCCAGTGCTTTTCCCTCAGGTCACAAGAGACCCCATCATCTGAGCACCACAGGGGAAGAGCTCTCCTGCTGCAGGTGCTGAGATAAAAGCTCTTATGACCATTTTTGGCACATTTTGCGAGAGGATGATTCTTAGGCCAAAATGAATTACCCTAGAAATAGAAGTGAGTCATCATGCAGCTGTAATTACATTTCACCTCTCCGCATAGATTTAATTTGATTTTTTTTTTGATATGTGCATTGTATCCTAAGTGTGCAGCATTGCTGCTTGCAGCTGAAAAAGCTGCAGCGGTGTTTGGTGAGTAAAATGTTTCCTAAATCTAGTGGGCTCATCTGCGCGGTTGCCGTTGGTGCTTGATGGCATAAAGCCTGTAGTGTGTAAGTAGATGTTCAAGTGCCAAACACTGTTATTGCTGCTGTTATCTTTGCAGATCACTAAAAAGCAGTGTTGCTGGAGTGGGGCTCTTCGACTTGGGTTTACTTCCAAGGATCCATCGAGGATTAACCCTGACACTCTGCCGAAGTATGCATGCCCTGACTTGGTTTCCCAAAGCGGTTTTTGGGCCAAGGCTCTGCCAGAAGAGTTTGCGAACGAGGGAAACATCATAGCCTTCTGGGTGGACAAGAAGGGACGGGTTTTCTATCGGGTGAACGACTCCGCTGCGATGCTTTTCTTCAGCGGGGTGAGGACGGCAGAGCCCCTCTGGGCTTTGATCGACGTCTACGGACTTACCCGTGGAGTGCAGCTCTTAGGTGAGTACCTGGGTCCAAATGTGCAGGGGTGATGCTGAGCTGTCCCTGGTGAAGGGCCAGCCTGATGCTGCCTGTCCCCCTCGCTGTGCTGGGACAGGCTCAGGGAAACAGCCGTTCTTCCTCCCCAGAGCATCTCACGACCTCATACTGGATCAGTGGGTGTTTGAAACTTAGCACGTAAATATAATACGAGTGGGAGTTGGGGAACAACCACTACAGTATAGCACTAGAAGCCATCTGCAAATAAGTGGATTTCTGCTCAGAGGTATTGCTCTATCAGACCATAGTCTGGAGTATGGCATATACCTTGTAAAACTTTCTTTTCTGTCATCTGCTGCTTTCCCCATGCCAAAGTGGGGAAATGCATTTTACGTGTTATGGATAAAATCCTTCCTGGATGGCACTATTATGATTTTCTGGCTGGTTTAGCGGACAGATTTGAAACATGGATATCTTCCAAATTACCTGGGAGAAGCTGCAGCTGGTTTTGCCAGGATGTTGCTTTCACAGAGGAGTTTGATGCATCCTCTGGAGCCTGAAGGTTGGATATACAGTTGGGGTTGGAGGGTGAGGAGTGCTGAATGCCTGTGTCTTCTGCCATCCTCAGCTGAAATGGAGATAGTTTGGCATTCATGAGGACTCAATCTAGTCCCAAATGTGCAAGCTGTGAAGGTTTGGGCTATTTGAGTTTATACATCTTAGAAGAACTGAAAAGAGTCTCCAAGGACCCAACTTAAGGGGCAGCTAGGTTGCTGGGGGACCAGAGGTGTTGGCATGCAGCCTTAGAATTGGCTTTGCATTGTCACAGGGGGGCAAATCACAGCACTTCTCCATGTAACAGTAGTTTCATGGGTCTTGTTTTCACCATGGAAAAGGTTAGATGGTACCCGCATGGGACCTTCATGATCTGAAGTTCCTTCTGAAGATGAGATGATCTTGCTAGGCTGAGAGAGATCCTGGCATTTTCCTGTCGTGCAGCCTCATAATCTCTGTTAAAATGACATCTTCATGCTATGTATCAAAAACTTTAATGAAGCCTCTTTCTGACAGTTCTGCCTCCTTTCTGCACTGCTTGCTGTATTAAAAAATATGGTGGCAGGACTGCCCACAGCAACCTACACGGCAGGGAAGAGGGATGTGTGTTCAGGAGGTGAAGAAATGGGGACTGACCTCTTCTTGCTGCAAAAACTACCGGCCCAAGATTGCATAAGGCAGAGGAGTTAAAGAATTTCTCGGCAGCTTTTTGCTTTCTTTTAGGAGCAGAAAGATTTATCTTTTGTTGTGAATCAGCTTGAATCAGAGCCACTAAGCAACTGTTCGTAGGCCGAGGTGGTGATATTTGAATTGGGATCTAGAATTTGGGCAAATGTTATGCCAAGGGTTCAGTTAGGAAAAGCTTACAAATGACTCCAAGTCCTCCGGCTGTTCTTGCGATATTTGGCACCTCAGGACTTCTCCGCCTGATTAATGAGGGCCCATAACTCTGGATTATGTGTTTCCTTTCAAAACACCCAAGAAATCATTTCTTATCCGTCATCCGCCCCTGCATTGTCCTAGCATCTTCCACATCCCCTTTCACAAGGAAAATGTGACTCTTGCCAGCCACTGACTTGCCTCTAGTCTAACAGGCTCCGGACTCTCTGGTGGGTATAAAGTCCCTGAATGAAGCAGGCAGCTTCTGAGTTTACACAGTTGGCGTGGAGCTCAGATATGTATTTATAGCTCGTTCCAGCAGCCTTCAGCAGGCTTTAAGCCTAGCAACTGTGCCGAAACATCTTCGACTTGAGTCTTCTCTATCTCCATTCATTATCACAAAGCACTAAAAGTCAGAGCAGGGAAATCATCGGCTGTGTTGCCTCTGGATCCTATAGACATACCCACTGCAATGCTCTGCACGCCTGTTTTAGTGTAGCAGACCACACATACAGTACAGGACAACTTGCCAAAAACTCCCAGGACTTGACAAATGAATTTCATAGCTTAGCTACAAACATATGGTCGAATTCACCCTGGTATGGCATGCAGGGCATCTGATGGAGGCTGGGGATGCTGGAGTGGTATGTTGAACAGAAGAGCCTAGCACTTCAGATTCCAGTTCAGTGATTTATTCCCCCCCAACCCCAAACATGTTCCTTGTTCTTGAGCCTCGCTATTTTCCCAATGACTGTAGGGTTGCAGGGTCATACTGCAACTCTGTGCTGCCTCCATTTGCTTTTATGTGTATTCACCCAAGAATCTGACCAAAAGCTTTACCATTTCTGGTGGCTGTCTTTCTGTTTATCGCAGAATTATTCCCTCCCTACTCCCAATAATGTAACTTCACTTCCAAAATCAGATTTGCCTGAAGGAAAGTCATGCAGCAGTAAGCCTTGTGTCACTGCAAGATCCCAGCTCTGCAGGGGAATGCACAGTGTGCATTTATGTCCCCAAAAGTCACAACTTCCAAAACTTAACATTTTTGTTTCGCTTATCTGCATTACAGTAGCAGTTCCAGCCAAAATTAGGGACCCAGTAAATCAGGGCAATGACCAAGTCTAGTGACACTGTTCCTGTCTTACAGATTTAATAAAGAGAGACTTGAACAAAAGGGGGCCCAAAGCCTGGGAGAGTTAAATGATTTGCCAGAGGTTGTACAGCAGTGTCACCCAATTCAGGGATGCCATCAGCCTTGTTGCCCAGCTCAGTCCTGCCTTCCTCTCTATCAGCGTCGCAGGCATTGCGCAACACTCCAGCATCACTAAATTGCGCCTGTGGATGAAAGAGAAGCAGCTGGTTTGTATCTTAATTTTTCATTTCCTTCTGCTTATGGCTTTACCTGTAGCATCAACCTTACTGATAATTACACACGTGCCATTACTGCTGGCAATGCACAGGTTTATGTGGCTGTCGCAGTGTTCCTGGGTCCAACTGCCCTTGCTGTGCGTTCAGAAGCAGAGCCCTTTTAAGCAGCTTCTTTGCCCACTTGATTTTGTTCTTAAACAGGTAAAAATGTCTTGCATGGTCCACTGCATCTCAGCCGAGGGGAGGTGAGGAACTGAGTTTGGACCACGTCTTGGCTGTCACTGCTGGAGTGAGTCAAAATGAGAGTCTGGCTTAAACCCACCCTGAAGGTGGCTTCGGTGATGCGGTTCACAGTGCTCACGCGCTAGGTCACAGGTGGGAGGTCACTCCTTGCTCTCCTCACCTCTACCCACGTTATAGAGACGAAAAGGCTTAAATTCACCCTGGAATCTGGTGCTCTTCTGACCACAAGGTCTCAGCTGCTTTCCTGCCACAATGTAAAGGCTGGCATAGGAGAGGTTGTTGCAACTGAGTGCATGCATGTTCTGTGTTTTAGGGCATGAGTTTTAGCATAGATGCAGGCTTAAGTGACCTGTAAACATGCCCTTATACAGTGACTCTCCAGCCGACATGCTCAACTTGTAGGCAGGATGGTTTACAGCTCTGCTTCCCTTTTTGGGCAGCTAGTTTTACACAAGTGCACTTTTACATTCCAGGATAATTTAAAGTAATATTTACTAGAAATGTGTCTTAGCCTTATGTTATCACTTCAATATACGCACATGCTCATTCACACTTTAAAAAGAGTCCGAGAAAAATGGAATATAAGCAATCTGCTGCCTTGCTGCTATGATAAAGCATCAAAAAAGAAAAGGAAAGGACCAGCTATTTAAATCCTGGGGTCTTCAGAGCCTTGGAGGAAGGATGGCAGCTCATGGGAACCAAATGGTGGTGTCTCACATTAGCCTGCTTCTTTCAAGCACTTGGCTAGTGAGCCTGGCATAGACTAAGAAACATTCATGCACACTTTCTATGGACTCACTGCTGGACAGCAAGGGTGGCAGCTTTCCTCAGTGATGTGTAAGTTAAAGCATAATGCGTGTCTTTAGCATTTTCCTGAACCTTTTGGTGGGGAATTCCAGGTTTACCCGCTGTATGGAGCCTTTTTGAAAATTGCCCCATTTTTTTGGCAGTGATACTGTAGTGTAGGATCACAGAATGGTTGAGATTGGAAAGGACCTATGAAGATCATCTAGTCCAAGCATCTAGTGTCTTTTCTTTCAAAGCGTGACAAATATGCTCTAAAAGTATGAAAAAATGGGACTGCAAAGAAATTATGATTTCAGCATATCGCCCCTGCCCTGTATTTCCAGTGCGGTGACGTGAGGAACGATCTGCTCATTTTCCTTAGTCCCATTTGTTACTGGTATGGTCAGCAACCAAACCCCTTTATTGTTTATTACTCCATTCACGCTCTTCTCCCATCCATCTGTATTTTCATTTATGTAGTATTTCAAGGTAGTCTTAGTCTTTTACCAGCACAGACTTGGAAAACCAAGGATAGTTGTATTTAGATTGGCACCCTGAGAGGCACCTGTTGAAAGCAAAGCTTCCCCACCTCTTGGAAAGATAAAATACGTGAAAAACTAGTAAGACCTTGCAAACTGGGAAAATTTTAAATGCACATGTATTAAATTTACCTGAAGTAGAAACAGTATAAATATATACTTCAGTCATAAATACGTATACAGATTCTAGTAGAATTAACTGGCAGTGCTGTATATTATATTAGATATTTGGGAAACCTTTTCTTTCTCCAGATCCCCTTCCTAGCTTCTTATTGCTTCATGTTTTCAAAGTATCGAAAGTCAAAATAGGAACTGATCACGGATGGAAATGTACCCATCTCGGGACTCAAGCTAGTGTATGTTTGACAAGGAAGTTGCACATTTTGTAGGGAAGGAAACGTGTTTTTCTTTCTTTACCCGTCAGTTCTTAGGTAAATTGAATCTCTAGCTCCAGGGCACCTCTAGAAGAAACATTAAATAAGCCCCAAATGAGGTGGATTTATGGGCAAATTTCAGGTGTGAATGGTATAAGATTGATGATCAATCTAATTTATCACACGCATCTGCAATTTTACCATGTAGTTATTACTATTTTATTTTCCAAGTGCAAAACTTACTTTCCATTGCCCACGGGAATCCATTTCTGTTGCT